CCCCACCCCCCCCCCCCCCCCCCCCCCCCAAGACCCAGCAGCTGCAAATCCTTTTTTCCTTGTTAGGGCCCCCCCTTACCTGGGGTGCCAGCTTGCTCCAGTGCGAGTATTTATGATCCCCAAGGACCGGACACCCCAGGCCATAGGCCAAATGGACCCGAAGCTGGTGCTTCACTCCTGAATACACAAGAAGTGGGAGGAAACGGAAAAAGGGGCAGAAAAAAAAACAGATGTTAAGTCACTGCCTGGGTCTCATCTGCCTGAACATGTCTGTTACCCACCCAGACTGTCTGCCAAACCCAACCAAAACTCAAAATTGTGAGTAGGTATCAACTGGATAATCCTGTCAGGGCTCACTCCAGCAGCCAATAAGGCCTGCACCAAACAAGCACTCGAAGGGGAATTTGGACACAGTTGGTCTCCAAAAGCATAGGCATAGACCAGTTACTCTCACCTCTATCCTTGGGAAAACCTTTGAAAAATTATTAAGGATCACATTTATGGAAGTCCAGTGGTGAAAGCAATGCTAAAGGGCAACCACCACAGATTCACAGCAGGTAGATCCTAACTGATCAACCTTGTTTCTTTTTACAACCAGGTCACAAAATGCTTAGACACAAGAATCGAGGTGGATGTCATCTACTTGGATTTTAAGAAGGCCTTTGATAGGGTATCTCATGATATTCTTAGAGATAAACTGAGTGACTGTGATGTAGATGATTACATGGTCAGGTGGTGTCAAATTGGCTTAGGGGGTTGCACCCAGAGAGTGGTAGTGGATGGGTCAGTATCAACTTGGAAAGATGTGGACAGTGGAGTCCCACAAGGCTCGGTCCTTGTACCGGTGCTGTTCAGTGTCTTCATCAGTGACTTGGATGAGGGCGTGGAAAGCACTGTGTCCAAATTTGCAAATGATACCAAATTATGGGGTAAAGTTAACATACCAGAGGGTACTGAACGAATCCAGGTGGATCTGGACAGGTTGGAAATGTAGATGAAACAGAATAGTATGCAGTTCAATAAGGACAAATGCAAGGTGCTGCACCTAGGGAGAAGGAATCACTAGCACACTTACAGGCTAGGGGAGGACCTTCTCAGCAGCACAGCAGCAGAAAGGGATCTTGGACTCACTGTCAACTCCAAGATGAACATGAGTCAATGTGATGACGTGATCAGTAAAGCTAACCATATTTTATCATGCATTAGCAGGTGCATGACAAACAGGTCCAGGGAGGTGATACTTCCCCTTTATGGGAAATTGGTCAGGCCGCAGTTGGAGTACTGTGTCCAGTTTTGGGCGCCGCACTTCAAGAAAGATGTGGACAACCTCGAGAGGGTTCAGAGGACAGCCACTCGTATGGTTAGGGGCCTACAGCCAAAGCCCTATGAGGAGAGATTGAGGGCCTTGCATCTCTTCAACCTCCGAAAGAAAAGGCTGAGAGGTGATCTTGTGGCCATTTACAAATTCATGGGGCGGGGGGGACACGACAGCAAGGACTAGGAGATGCTGTTTACCAGGGCACTCCTTGGGGTAACTAGGAACAATGACCACAAACTGACGGAGAGCAAATTTAGGTTAGACATAAGGAAGAACTTATTTATGGTAAGAGTTGCCAAAATCTGGAATGGGCTTCCAAGGGAGGTGGTGCTCTCCCCTACCTTGGGGGTCTGTAAGGCTAGACATATACCTGGCTGGGGTTGTCTGACCCCAGTGATCTTTCCTGCCCAGGGCAGGGGGTCGAACTCTATGATCTGCTAAGGTCCCTTGGAACCCAAATATCTATGAATCTATGCTCCTTTCAGATCTATTTCAATCTTATTTAATAGGCTGCTCTACCAAGTCCTGAATGCCTGGACACACCCAGGGTTAGCTTGGGTCCTTCTTTCAGGCTATGGTCGTCCCCCTCATAACAGTTACTTCCACAGAGGCAGTGAAGGAAGCTCACAAGACTAACGAATGAAAGCTCTGAGCATTAAACCTCCCTCCCATGGGTCACAATATGCCTTACCTGTGATCGGCTGGAGCTCCAGGAGGGAGCAAGAGGCAAAGCTAGCCAGAACACGGTATCGGGTCGCTGCACTCTGAGCAGCTCGGTTCTTGCGCACTTTGACCAGCTTTCCTTCCTCAGAAGACAGGCGATAGTTTGGTGCCAGCGTCATCTGAACCAGAGGGAGAGGGTAGGTCAAGAGAAACACCTCTGCACACTAAGAGCAAAGGAAACAAAGGAGAGGTATCTATTGGGGTAAGTTCACCTACCTTATGGTGGGACTGATGGCTCTGCACTTCCTTCTCCACAATGGGAATATCCACCAGCCCCTCTGAGGGGACTGGGACCCCCACAACGATTGCCCTACAAAAGAAGACTCTTAGTTGATGGCAAACCAGTGTCCAGCACTCACAAGCAGCTGAAGTACAATTTTCTTCATGTCTCTAAGGGTCTTGTTATACCTTACACCAAGTTGCACAAATGTTGCTCAGTGTTAATGGTATCTCAAGTTTTGAGCAGTCAGTTTGAGCCCAGCCCAGAAAGCAGAAGTAGCAGTGGCAGCAGCCAGGCTGACAGGTTGATCTTTCCCTGCCTGCTCTCTGGGATGGACAGCATAGGCAGCCACAAGCAAAAAGAGGGGATGGGGGGATTAAGTTGTGGGGATCTGGGGATTCAGTGAGTCTGATCCAGGCCAGTGAAGGAAGCTTGGCGGGGAGAGGGGGGGTGTGGAGGAGTTACACTAAGGTGCAACTTAGAGTTGGCTACGCCTCAGGCGTAACACAGATCAAAGATAATCCTGTCGTGGAGTGGCATAACTTTGAGCTGCATAATGAGTGCTTAAAACTAGTTTCAGGTTTTAAAGTGTGGACAATCTGGGTGTTAAAAGCTCGAGGAGCTGCCCAAAATTACCACGCAACGAGACCCTGAGGCTTTGTGGTGTCAGAAACAGGGTCAGAGCCCCAAGGTTCTGCCCACTTGCAAAGGTCCCATCCCCCCAACATAGATGGCTGAAGAGTGCAGGATGCCTTCTTCAGTAACTCTCCTATGAATGCCAGAGAAAGAATATAAAATCCTCCTACCCCTACAGGCTGCGCAGACAGCCCCTACCACCCAAAGGAGCAAGAGGGGTAGATCTGTCTCCTGATTCATGCATCACGCATACAGCACATAGTAACAAGCAATTAGGCCTAGCACCTAAATGTTCCATGTCTGACTCCCCAGCACAGTGCAAGCAAACCAGAGCAGATAGTGCTGCCATCACTCCCCATGGGAGTACACAAAAACACGATTACGCATGGACAGTTCAGGGTCCATTCAGCAGTTCAAAGACCATCCAAGCCAGTGCCTCAGTGGTGTCTGTGGCCTATGGAAATCACCAAGGGAAAGCCATCTAGTTTACAAGAGAGATGTGCAGTGGCTTGAAGAATCACTGCCAGCCCTAGTTCCTCCTCTCTGTTGCCAGTCTCTGCAGAAACTCCAGTCTGAATGGGTGGGGGAGACCATTCTTTCCCCTCACCTCAAAGGGTGTTTCCCAAGAGCAGTGTGGGAAACATACTGCTTCTGCCCACACTAACACTATTCATCTTTTACAGGGCACATGTCCTTCCAACAAACCAAACCCAAAGACTTCTCATACCTGTAATCCTTCTCCACCTGACGAGTTTTAAAGAGATGCTGGATCTCATAAGCTATGTCGCTGTTCCTTGCTAGCACCATCACACCTGTTGTCTCCTTATCCAGCCGGTGACACAAGTGCAGGGGTTCAGCTTTCATGCCATGCAGCATCTTTGCCAAAATGGGTAAAACATCAGTGATGCAATTTCGGACACCAGGTCCACCTGCGTGATTGAAGGGGTAGCAAGATATTAAAAACAGGATAGAGCATGGAGAACTCCCTGGGGAAACAGCATTCCCTAAGCACAGAGCCAATGACAACAAGCTCTGTCAAGGAGCCTACAGAAAGAACCTGGCATTTCATGGACTAAAACATCCTTTTGGAGACTTATTAGCCACACAGACTCTCACAGGCTAGAGCAGATTTGCTGAAACACTTCCAGATCTTAGCTTGACTAGCAACTCTGGGGGCTCTAGAACTCTGGCCACTGGGTTCACCACAGACTCACAAAACAAACGCACAGGACTTGCCCCAAGCGCCTACCCAAGCCATGCAACGTGACCCCAAGTTGATAATTATCATCACTGTTACCTTTAGAACTGAATCAGGACAGAAAACCCTAATATTATCAGGAAAGAGAGAGAAAGAGATTGAGAGAGAGAGAAAGGGGAGTATGTTATTAGCTGACCCTGCTTTCCCACAAAGCTAATAAGAAACATTATGGGCTACAGCTCCACTTCAGATTCACTGCTGAAGTCACCATTCACCAGGCTCCATTTAGACATAAAAAATGATGGCCTGCATCACACAGGAAACTGGATTAGATAACAAAGGTCCATTCTCACTTTGCATTAATCTACAAATCAGCAGGATGGAGTCTCACAATGATTTGAGTAATATTTGTAGCCAAAAATCAATTAACATCACTTAAGGTAACACAGGACAAGATGCTCTGGTAGCCACAGCGAAAGGGTTAGTAAAGTCCCCATGATGCTACTTCTCCCAAAGCTGCTAATACACAATCATAGCATCACTACTGGCATTGCACAACAGACTCCCTGCCCCCGCCCCCCCCGCGCGCTCACCATGCACAGGGATGCCATAAGGCTTGTTAATCACCACAATTTTCTCATTCTGGTACAGGATCCCATTCTTTAGTGCTTTGGCCAGCACATTGGGATGAACCCGCTGGAGCTGCTTGCTGAACCTGTCAAGTTGACGGACCCGTCTCGAGAGCGGCGATTTGGGCTCCTGCAAAGATCAAAAATTACTATTAGTGGAGAAAGGATGGTTTTATGTGACAGGGATTCAGGGACCAGAGCTTAACTCCTGGCCCTGCCACAAACTTCTTCTGCAACTCAGCTTACTCCCTGGGTCTGCTTCAGCCCCTCATTTCACACAGTGTTGCTCGGATAACATCAACAACACAGAGAGAGGGTTACTGTGTGAGAATGATCACAGGCGCTGCCCCACACTCCCATCGCGACTGCCATGATGGGACTGGATCTCACTACACGCAGGGGCCTGTGCCAAACTAATCCAGTGCCTACATTTTCCTGACTAGGTCCCAAGAGCCTGGAGACCAGGATATCATTTTAATCCCCGCTGAGCACAGCTCTCTGAGCAGCGAGGAGCAGACCACGGGAAGCAAGAGGTCAGATGAGGCTTTTGCCATGGCCGCCCTGCGCCTGCTCCAGTCCAGGAGTTACAAGTATATTTCACGTGAGAACGACAACGCCGCAGAAGCCAGTGTCGGCAGAGGATGGGGGCGCTCGTCACAACTAAAACGGCTTACGTTTAGTCTGTATCTGAAGCAGACTCACGTACAGCCCCGGCCCCGGAACCCGCCTCGCAGGCACGTGCTCCGACGCCGCGGGGCATGCCGGGACCGCGGCGCTCTCACCTCGCCCCTCGATTTTTCGCGTTGCTGAGCCCGCAGCTTCTCCGCCAGCTTCTCCGCCGTCGCCGCGCAGCCCACCACCCG